AAGTTGAACCGAGTGCACCTGTCTGCATTCTGATGAGGCAAATGCTCTTCTTTCCTCTTAAGATTGCTGCAGTAGACTCAGAAATGCTTCCACATGTGATGCTTTGAGTCTTTCTTTCATTCAAGACTTGGGCACAATCACTTTCAAAACATGACGAACATTAAAGCTAAAGAATGACAACATACGGTGATGTACATCATCAAAATACAACACAGTTCATATAAAGGAAGAACATGACAAGTGAACAAAAAGAAGAGAGTATTTGTATCAAATATGTTGTCTCAGGAGGAGGAAGAAGTTGATTGTTTCACTTGAAATGTGTTGTAAAGCAAGATTAATCTGTTCCATCCCTAGTGCCTTGACACCGCTACCTGTCAAGATAAAGCGCTGAAACATCAAAATCTGCTCTCAGCCCTGCAGCTGTGCCCCTATACGAACACCCAGAGGAGAAGTTTAATAATGAAAGGGGAAAATAACGTTGTACACATATCAAACTACATATCTAAATCGCAGATCAGAGAGCCGATAATCCTTATCCCCGTTTCTTTAAGCCACTGTAAAAGTAAAATTAAATATTATTTAACACTTAATCTGTATTGCTTTTTGAAAAAGAACATAAAAGCAACAAAATAAATAGATGAAATAAAGTCACAAGGAGCAATAAACAAGTTCATACATACAGTAATAATTATGGATTTACTGTATCTTGAGGGTTACTTTCTTGATTTTTACAGACAAAACAGATATTTGTTGTTCAATAAAAAAGACTCCAAGTCCTGCCTGGGTCATACTATGTAGCTGCCTAAGAGAAAAATAGAATGGACACTTCAATCACTAGCTTTAATTCAATAAAAAGAATTGGCTCTGTAGAAACGCCTGTCTTCACCTATCCATTATGCATGTAATTCCTACAGCAAGGAAAGACTAAACTTTGTGGGGAAAATTGACGGGTGCTTGCCACTGAAAGTTGAAAACACAGTTGAAACACGTAAAAATTGTTGAAACAGTATAGGTTGTACTGTAGTTGAAGTGGCAGTCGAAATACAAATACTGAAAGAAGGTGAAGTAGAGGTTAAAATGGAAGGGCTGGAGGAAGTTCAAGGTCTGAAAGTAATTTGTTTTTTGTGCTAATGAGCAAGATGGTGAACATACCTGCTAAACATCAGCATGTTAACATTGTCATTGTGAGCACGAGGCTATAAAAATCTGTACAGAATAAACCAAAACAAGCTTTAATTTACTGGATATGGAGTCTGTTGAATTGCTATTCTGTGATGTCAGCTGCTTAAAAGTAGTAAACCTGACATGTTGGAAAATGTTGCAACTTATTACTTCAGTAATTTCTTACTCAGAAACTGGCGAGCGCTGTAATGCTAGCAGTCACGAAGAGGCATCAGTGACATTAATAGCAAGTTAGGGGTCTGTATCTCAGCCTTTTTTTGCCATTGCTTCCTCGCTGTGAGTCTCAGAAGTTGTGTGTGTCAGCCAGTAAGCTTTCCTCCCCGGACACTCGTCCCTCAACCCTCCCCTCTGCCGACAGAAAGCAGCCACCGCCTCTCCTGTTTCCTCTCCGCGCCAGGGTTTACAAATTCCCCCTGATTTACAAGGTCATAAAACTCACCTCCTCCTCCTCCTTCTCTCCTGCTTCAATCAACCTCTCCAGCTAAAGCAGTTATTTTATAACTCTCTAAGCACATGCTCCCGTACAAGGCTGCCACAATCGATCTGCTATCTGGTTTCAGATTGCATATTGCGTGCTCTCTGAGACACATACAGTATAGATGGATACATGCACTCTGCTAGCTGTATACCACGCGGACTGTCCGAGGACATGGAGGGGAAAACTCTCTTGTAATGTTATCACTCTGTCTTCAGCTTGTTAGTGTTACATAGTCGTAACTTCGCTCTACTTCACAGTGTGCTGACAGCTGAGGCAGGATTATGAATTAAAGTTGACACAATATCATTTTGTGAAAGCAAAGAAAATCTACACTGGATCTGAAAATGGCGATGCACCTTGCGAAAAATGCTGTTCTTACATCTACAATTCTGTATTCCTGTCGCTCTTGGCCAGGATTTTTATATCTTTCAACCTGTTTCTTGGGTTTTCTCTTTAAACACACTGCCCTTTATTCCCTGTGTGTCCATGTATGTGAGAGGGAATTCAGACATGCTCCAGAGAGCATCTGGCAAGTGATGTCCTCTGACCGTAAAAGCTTTGTGTGGCGACTGCCTCGAAGGGTACTATAATCTATGTCCCTCTCACACAGTCACTCAAGCGTTCACAATAAACACACATCCGAGACTATATGATGTCTTTCTTTTAGTAGTCTTTTTTTTCCATCTTCTCCAGGGAGTCACATGTACAGTAACTCAACAGGCTTACAGATGATTTCACCACAATCTGACAATGTTCACCTAAAATGTTTATTATAATCCATATTCGTACCATACAGTACTTCACTTAATCTCATATTATTACAGTATGTTACAATCGCTGTGTAAAATATCACAATCATTCAAATTATTTAGACAAGCCATTCCTAATCTGAACCATTGACGTATATAAAGATGGATGTCGTGCCTCCACTTCGTCCCACTGTTGAAAAATGTAAGAAAAAAAAGCCCAATTGTCCCAGATTAATCCGCGAGCAGAGCTAAGCTGTCATGACGTGAAACCTCCTTTTTATAGCAAGCCATTCCCAATCTTAACCATCAAAATTAACATTTGAACATACATTCATGTGATAAGAACTACCTAAACTTTTGCCATCTTTTGGAAGAAAGTATTTGATATGTACCTCCCATCCCATTTTTATATACAGTCTATGAGCTGAACATAAATATATGTATGCCCCTAAGCAGCTTTTGTATTTAAAACTAATGTAGAAGTGTAACACACATTAAATATGTATATTAAACAATTTAAAATATTTACATGAATCACCAGACTGGAGTTACTGTTACTGTGTTTTTTTTAGCCTCACTTCTAGAGAAGGAAACATGTAAAAAATAGTACTTGTTGATTTCTTCCTGTTACAAAGTGTGTGTGTCTCAGATCTTTTTTATTCCATTAGCTTCATGCAGAACCTACTATAGATTTTTAAGTTTGTGTGTGCGGGCCTCTTCTTCAGGTACCCACCAGTAACCTTCATTTATAAATCCCTTCATACACACATAAATCCTAGCTCATCTCTCCTGAGTGAAAAGATTACAGGATAGTGATTTCACCCTCTAATTAGGACTTCATCTCCCTCTCTCACGCATATATACACACACACACACACACTCACACCAGGCTGCTTTAGTTACAGCAGGCTGGCTGGAGGCATCTGATAGCCAGGCCTCTAGGGACCCTGACGAGCGGCTACCTGAAATTTAAACCCGAAAAGGAAGCACAGAGGTAGATACACACACATACACACACGTAGAGAGTGAGAGCAGGGAAATGTCCTGGAGGCAGTTTCAAAGGCAGGATTGAGTGTAGGAGTTGTGTGTAAATTTAAAACAGGTAGCTTTTAACGGTAATGAGGCCTTGCTGCCCCATGAGTGTTGAAACCATTGGTAATCAATAACATTCCAGTTTGTATGAGACTGTGTGAACATACTGGTGAATGCGCCTTTGAGGCATCCTGTCATTAAGGAGAAAATGGTCAGCTTTCATCTGCACTGCCTCCCCGAAGGGCTCGGCTTTAAGAGCGTTCAACTGTACTGTACGTTGCTCCCATATGGCTGAGTCTTTTGAAGGTGCAGGACAAAGTGGAAAAGACGGATTTTCCACTGAATTTCAGCAGGAGACACGGGGGGAATATTTTGTTAGCAAATTTGGCTGGGTTATACAGCATCATGTCCTCATTTTTGAAAATCAAAGACCTGCCGTGACAATCTCAGCGTGGTGGCGATCAAAGGCCTTCTATTATGGAAATAATGTTTCCATCCAAACTGATTCAAAGGAATTCTTTTTTTAAAAAGTGGCTTCTATGACCAGCTTGACAGAGATTGCCCAGAAAGATTTTCAAAGAAACTGTTGACCTCGAAGTTTATCAAAACTTATACGATATCATGTCTTTGTACATAGTGAATTCTCATTCAGGGAATCTTAATCTCTCTTAATCTTAATCTATAGTATCTTACTTTCAACAAGAGATATTGTTCTCTGAGGTGAAAAAAAAAAAGACTGATCAATATCAATGCAGCACAGGCTGAGATATCCTGATCAAACTTCAAAAAAACGTGGCATCCCACATTTCCCATAATGCAATTGATAGTGTTTTTTGTAAAACCCTCCCTGTCCACGTGTGTCAAATTCCTGTCCCTAGACCAAAGGTTTATTAAAACTTCCAAATCTCAAGCCCAAACTGGAATAACCCTGATGATGTCCTAGTGATGTTAGCAGGGTTATTCCAGTTATTTCTTTTGACCACTGAGCCTCCAGAGCCAAGATAAGTGGTTCTTAGTTTCACTGTTGAGCTCGTCCACTATATCAATCAGCTGGGTAACATTCCTGTGTGGTGGAAGTAGGCCAGACATGACTTTTGGTATAAAGAAAGCAGGTTTTTATTAGCATGCCTTGAATGCTTTATTGTTTTTTTGATGAAGGACATTGCAGATCAGGTAGACTTTAATAACAATAGCAGGGTATTGTGTGCGCCAATGCTCCTCACACAGTGCTATTTTTAACTCTGCCTGACATTGTAGCCAGATGGTCAGTCAGGTAGCTCGAACAAAGGTTCACCAGGCCACATAACAAAGTAATGATACTGATCTCCTCTTGAAAAAATTATATTCAAAATGGTTCACTCAAGGATGTTTTGCCTGGATTGCACCAGCTTAACCTAAATAAAATAAATGCTGTTTTTTTTATTACTAAATTCACTAGAATTCAATTTGTATGAGAGCAAGTGTTGTTTTTTTATTGTCTCACTTTGAGATAAATGTACCCGCTCAGAGAGGACATTAAAGACTCATCATTGAAAAATGTTTCTCCCTGTTTGTTCCAGGACAAAAAGAAATACCTGGACATCATCCACAGCTACATGGAGGTCCACGGCACCGTGCACGGCACCAGCACCGTGCACCTGCCGAGCTACGTCAAGAACCACGGCATCCTGAGCGGTCGAGACCTGCAGTTCCTCCTCCGAGAAACCAAGGTGAGTCCGTCCAGCTGTAAATTGTCTCACATGAATAAATAGCCCTGCAGGGAAATAAAAGTGTGTGAGGGGTACGGTGCTTATTAGATGGCTATGAGAACCACAAACCAACTCCCACACTTTTCCCTTGGACATTTTTTAAATGACCAAGAAGCTGTGGCCCAGCTAACCTGCAGAATATTGAGGACACGCTGTATCTTTTTTTAAAAACCATGACCATTTTTAAGCACATTTCAGTGCTACAATATCACTTAAAAGAGAAGTTAGAGAGTAAAAATGTGATTTTTAGAGGAGCTATCTTTATGTGAACAGAGGCCCACTTCTGAGAGAGCCTTCAACCGAGTAGAATGTCGGAATCTGTCCTCGGTCCAGCCGTCCACAGAAGCACTTCTCCATTCACGTCATGACTTATCCCTTCCTCTCACTACTCAAACCACTCTTATTCACAAAGACAAGGACACAGCCACAGAAGCAGCAGCCAGACTGGATTGTATTGTGTTGAGTGACATGTTCACAGAATAATAGCTTTGTTTTGTAGCTCTGCTGAAAGCTGTGAAGTGGAGATCCTGTCACTTCTAAATGATTTAATCAAATGCACGATAAACAAAAGTTGTTGGAACAGAAGTTGATCAGCTGTAGTTATCTAATATAATTATGTCTAAATGATGTTGTGCTCATAGATTAAAGCTAAAGCTCCACGTTCCAGGCAAAAAGTAAGCAGTCCTCACCAGTTGATGCTGCATATGGAAGACGAGGAAAAAAAGAAACGGCATTGTTGTTGTATTGCAGTGTAGAGAAAGTTAGTGCTGGTATTTTGGTATTTAACTTTGTGGTTTTTTTTAGGATGAGGAATGACAGACAGTTTAGCTAATACAAAGCTGTATTGTGTGTGATTAGCACTATGCAGTTGTAGTATGTACCTAATGTAGTCAGCTACTGATGTGCTCTTTGGCCTTGAAGGTAACGCTAGGTTACTGCTCTAGTTGGTAAGCTAGTTAGCTGGACATGCTAACATTTGTAACTTACATTAGAGCAGACAAGCGCTGTTTAATCTATTCTTCTACACTTTTGTATACTTTTTCCTCTTGGGTTTTTTTTGTTTAGGAAACGCTAAAAAGACAATTATAAGCATCACTCTTATCAATTAAATCGCAGCACCTACTTTTCTTTTATGCTCAGAACTTCAGGGAAAGCAGTGAATTTCCACTAAATTTTATGGAGCTGCCTTGCTATTGCCATAGGGGAATGGAATTAAAATGACATGGTCCTCAAAAACCTGACAACATTGTCTGCTGAAGGTGAAAACCATCATTAGTGCTGGCATTGAAAGATGGAATTTGTCTTTTGGCTCCAGTCATCATTCATTTCAGAAGAATAAGGTGGAAGAGAGCTTCGATTTCTCTCACCCCTAAAACCAGATGCTCTCTCACCAGACCAGGGCGGGAGGCGAGGCAGACAGAGCGCAGAGAGACATCACACAAGAGCCGGGGCAGGGATGAAAAGAAAGCTAGAGAGCCATAGATCATGATTCACACTTTTATAGAAAAAAAGATGGATTGAGATTTAAACCCCTTTTGTGCTGAAATGATATTGAGTATTGCTTCAGCCAAAAAAACGATTCTTGGCCGGCAAATCCAGCTCTGAAACCAAGAACTCAGTGACGTTGGAGGCATTTAGAGAGAAAAGCAAAGGTGTATTCTGCAGTGGAGCAGATCTTTAAAGAAAAAAATACAAAGAGAAACAACACTCAAAATGTTTTACCCGAGTGAGTTTTGGTTCGCTGGATTCGTGTAGCCTGGAGAGTTAACTCTCAGCAGAGATGGGATAGAATACAAACTTCCACATCCTCTCACTACATGTAGTTGTGCATGGAATAGGGGAATGGCCTATTAAATACCACAAAAACCCAACATTTTAGCCGAATTGTTGTTTAAGCACTAACAAGGAAAACAAGAAGGTGTTGTAGGCACAGTTTTCCTTGTGGTGCTTAAACAACACATTTACTGTTACCTGCAATTAGACTGCCTGAGCTAATTGGTCTCGTGGGGCTTTAACAGTGTATTGTAAAAAATTCTGTGGATGTGGAGGCGCTTCTGTGAGGAACGATGTTGGCGTTGACGTCTGACATTTGATTTTTCTCCCAAACCAAATTTCCTGAAATAAACTCTGACTAGCTGCGCTGTATCAGGGGAATAGTGTCAATGATCAAACCACTGAAGTGAGGCAAAGCTATACAGCGTCATGTTGCAGGCTGATGGAGTCAAAGGTTTTAGCTTTTTTCTGACTTTGCTTCTCTTCTCTTCGCTGTCTAGCTCTTTTTAATTGCCTCCTGCTGTCTGCCTCTGGTTTAGCTTACACGTGTTTCTTATTTTCTTCCTCTTTCACACTCCTCCACACACCCAGTACATTATATATTAACTATAAATTAATAATAATAATAATTATCATAACCATACATTTCTATGTAAAGGAAAGAGTCCTGTTTTCAAGTCTTCATACCAATATATCTTACCAGCTATAACCAGCTTATATCTTATACATCATCATTATCATCATTTTCTGTGTAGTGGAAAACAAACACATCCTGTGGCAGGTGCTGGAATTACAAATACCAAGAAAAAAACAACCTAATTAACTTGCTGCCTCATTAAACTCAGCGGCCGCCATGTTTTAAGAGATGTGGCACAGGCTGCTGCAGAGCCATTAGACTCCAAACATTTTGTGTTGGAGCACAATAGTGAGCTGGTTCCAATGTTCCTCAGAAAGCACCACACAATCATAAAGGAAAATGATTTTGTGAGCTAGTCCCGGAAATGTGTTATAAGTAATATAAAATGGAAATCATTGACATTGTGTTACTATGTGTGTTTTCATGGTAATAGATTTATGCAAAGGTCTATTCAAAGTTAAATGACTCCTCTAACATTGGAACGACCTCTGCATTTGAGTACCACTGTCATCATTGTGTTGCCTGTAGAATTGAAGCCTCTTCATTGAATGCGTATGTATATGTAGGTTTGTGTTGGCTTCATGCTTAGATGACTCTCACATTTGAACTACTCCACTTTATATTAGAGGCAAATACTGTACTAAATATATACTCCATTTATAGTATTTAACTAGCGAACTAGCTATACTCACTAGTTACTTTGATTCTAAATACAAAACTTGTGATCAGCATATAAAACGTACTGCCTTATTACAGATTAGACTCTGCACACAGGTGGCTCATAAAAAAAATATTCAGGTTGGAGTTGTGCAAAGCATTGTGGGATTTACATTAGGGCCATGATGCACAAGTAAGATTGATAAAATATTAAAGGAAAGCCCCCAAAATATTATGATTTTACCATTCTGTGTCTGCCATTCTGCATAATGAGTAGATTAGGATGTATGTATTATGTATTGAAAATCATAAATGCATGACTTTTACTTGCAGCAGAGTGTTTTTAAATTGCGGTATTACTACTTTTACTTATACAGCTTTAACGTGTGGCAGTGGGTTAACATCAGGGGATATAAATGTACACGAAGGCAAAGGAAGACAAACCAATAGAAGTAAGATGTAGTGTCTCAGGAGCTGAATGCCCTTGAACATGAATACACAAAACTTCTTTAATGCATACCATTAAAGAGCTTTCATGTAAAATCTGCGATTCTTATTGATTTCTCTTTTTAAATCCGTAACAGTAACATAGGAGATGCAGGCATAAGTTATTCATTTCTACCTTTGAGTCTTTCACTCTGTATGGATTCTCTGCCTTTCTTCTCCACCACGGAAGCTCTCTCTCCGTCTCCCCTCTCCTCATCCCCTCCCCTCCCCGCTCACTATAAATAGTGGGTGACTGTTTCTCAGCATTGAGGAGCTTTTGCATGCACACACAACATACACACACGTAGAAGAAGCAGCGTGCTCTGCTGCCACCTGTTTGCAGACGTCTGTTGCTAACAGTGCTGTAGTTGTGTTCGCATTCAAGATAGAAAAGCATAAATCACAACCCTGGTCTGAACATTGAAGTGTGCACGGACACACTTCATGTTACAATACGTCATTGTGTGTTAAAGAAAGAGTGTGTCGTCGATCAGACTTACTGTTCTGTTCTTATGGGCAGATACACACTGGCCAATACAAGCACACACAGACTAGCCATTGTAGCCGGCCAGCTCTGGCCCTCCAGTAAATGAGCCACTTGCCGCCACCACCTCCTCTCTCCACCTCCTCCCTCCTCCCTCCTCCTCCCTCCTCTCTCTGTTTCTAGATAACTGTCTCACGCTCATATTAACAAGCTGCTACTGCCTTGCAAATATTTGCTCTTCCCATCCAGGAGTGAACTTGTTATTATAGGCCCCTCTAGTTCTCTGTACGTACAGTATTTACTTTAAAGTATTTATGGCTACAATCACAGAAGACATAATATGTAGACATAGAGAGGACCCATTTGGTTACTGTATACCACAGTGCTTAACTTTCACCTTTAAATTCAGGGTTATTTTTACCCTCAGTTTAGTCCTCATTTCACCTTGCATTTACATCTTTACCTCATGTGTATTACTGTCTTTTAATTTCTTTTAAAATGTTTTAATCAGAATTGTACTCGCATGACGTAATGTGCATTGAGGAGTTTGCTTTCTGTGTCAATCCCTCCTGTTCGTACTGGCCATTAAAATATCCCTACCTAACATGCTTCCAATGTAACAAAGGGGACAAAATCCACAGCATAGTTGTAATATGAGCTCATTTGAGGGCCTTGCTCACAATAAATAAATACATGGAAGGACCAGTAAGAAATATCTGGGTGGGTAAAGAGCAGCACGTCCCTCATTCCATCACTTCAGTGTCCCTGAGCAAGTCAACTAAACTCTGCTCCTGAAAAAGAGAGCATTGCTATCAGGGAAGCTTCTCTGGATAAACACAGTTTAAACAATAAAATATTGATAAAAGCGATATAAACATACCAAGATGTTAATACTGTAAATGTTCAATTAAGTCATCTAAGTCAGTGGTTCCCAATCTGAGGGATAACAAGATGATTAACAGGAGAGATAAACAGAGAAACTTATTTCTTCTGCTCAAAACTGCTTTTTCTTTTACTTGTCTTACTTGTCCAATTTTTCCATATTCTAAAGTGATTCAAGTTAGACCAGGACTCTGGAGAGCAGTTCAGTGTTTGGGTGAAACTGTTTTGGTTGGTAGAAACATTAGTCAACTAAGATGGTTCAGATCACAGCTGTGTTTTTGATGTAGTGATAAGGCTCTGGTGGTTAAATGAGATTTATATATAGTCTTATATTAAACATCTTTGTGAGTTACTGTTGTTCTCCTCGGGCTGCTTAGGCTCAGTGTGTTTCCATCTGCAAACTATCCACAGCACTCCCTCTTTACCAAACTTCCAGTGGCCTTTGGGAGGAATAAACATTAGAGTGGTGTCTTCACATTATTCTCCTTGTTTTTCCTCCCTTGTTTTATAGAGGAAAAAATGCTGCCTTGGCTGTATTTTGTGCTGATAACATGGGAGGTTTGCTTCAACAGGAGCTAACTGCTGCTATCAGCAAACAACAGAAACTCCTCAACACAGCCAGTGAACTTTCTACCTCTCTACCCTCACAGACGTCTTTGTTGTTCTGGTTTTTTCAGGAGCTGCAAACTGTTGGCTCTTTCCTGAACTTACATTAGCCACAGTGTTAGCACAAATGTACTCCTACAATGATCCTCATCGTGTTTTTTGCACTCAATCTTCATCTTGATTTTAAAATAGATTTTTTTCCTCCTCTGCAGTTGTTTGTGGGTCTGTCCTTCCCCTATGAGGGTCCCGCCCCCCTGGAAGCCATCGCCAACGGCTGCGCTTTCCTCAACCCCAAATTCAACCCGCCAAAGAGCAGCAAGAACACAGACTTCTTCAAGGGTAAACCCACACTGAGAGAGGTGAGCACGTTTGTCTCTTAACTCCTCTGCTCGAGATCTGACTTTTAAAAGGTGTTTGATTTTCCTAACTTCTACTCACTCCGCAGCTGACGTCTCAACATCCGTATGCTGAGGTGTACATCGGTCAACCCCATGTGTGGACGGTGGATATCGAGAACTCTGTAGAGGTGGAAAGGGCCATCCGCTCCATCCTCAGCCAGAAGGTAAACACAGAAAACGACACACCTGATGACTTTTGGAACATTTTGATAAGAGATTTCCTCATGAAATGTCTGCATTGATATAAAGAGACCGTCACCTAAATTATCTTTTCTTTCTTTTTCAATTTGTCTTATTTAATATCCTAATTTTTCTGCTTACAATTTATTTATTGCACTAAATAAGGGCACAACAATAATGTAAGGGCTGCAATTATTTTCAGCATCAATTAATCTTCCAGTTATTTTTTTTGCTCAAGCGATTAATTGTTTGGTCAATAAAACGGCAGAGTTAATTCAGCATATTCAAAATTAGAAATACTTTCAATTAATCAATTATTAGACTGTTTTTTTTAAAACATCATGTAAATGGTAAAGGAACAGAATAAAATGAATACTGTGGTATTAATGCATTAGAAAAATAAGTAAATAATAAAGATTATGTCCAATAAAAAAGATATAAATAATGAAAACTGTAGAAAACCAGTCACGTAAAGAATTGATGTTACAAGTACATAAAATCACTGTGGCCAGCCAGATATGTATTTATTTACATATGTACTCACTTTATATATAATTACACACAGGCGTACTGCATTGTCTTCACTCTTGAAATAATTGGTTCATTGTTCGCTATAAAATGTGAAAAACCCAAAGATATTCAGGTTACTGTCACATTAGACAAAGAAAAAGCCAAACTATTCACAGCTGATAAGTTGAAACTATGAAAGCTTCATCCCCTTTGCAAGGAAAAAATTAATTGAAATCAGATGTTGACAAAGATGCTCGGGTGAAAACTCAGCAGAGGATCAGTGAAAGCACCGGGGAAAGAGAGAAAGATCCTGTTGCGTCTTTAAGTCCAGGCCCATGCATATTTAAAGTCCGGGTTCGGGACCTCGTGTTGTGTTTGTGCTCTGCTGAGCGAGTCGGAACAATGGCTTTGTTCACTGAACAGGCCTGCAGAGCCTCATATGCTTTGTGATCCGTGGCGAGCCGCAGCCTACCAGGCTCCGGCTTGGCTCACACACCCTCCCTCTCCTCCTCCTCATCTTCCTCCCCGTACACAAAGAAACAGGGAAAGCAGCGAGTGACTTGGTGCTACAACAAAGGTTCAGTTGTTGTTCCTCTCTGCTTGAAGTTTTCCTCTGCGAAAAAAAAAGTCTGCGGAGGTCGACAGCGGTGCAGAGAACAGACACGTACACAGTGAGAAAAGCTGATGCAGAGTGTCCTGATGTTGTGTTTTGTGTGATTAGATTGAGCCCTACCTGCCCTATGAGTTCACCTGTGAGGGGATGCTGCAGAGAGTCAACGCCTTCATTGAGAACCAGGTACTGCCTGTAGATGTATTAGCTCTGCATAAACCTATCACAGTCTGGGTCTACTGAGACTTGATTATAGCCAAATGAAAATGGAATTTAAATAGACTAGCTCTAAAGACTTGAAAGCCCAAAATGTCATCTTTTATTGAGTCACTTCCATAGATTATAGATTAATAAACCTGTCCCTGTGTCAAATTAAGATGTCCTGCTGTGGGACTGTAAAAACTACAAGATTTGGAAATTATAGCAATTTCTAAAATGTAACCATTAAATATAACCAATATCCAATTAACATGACAACTGAAATAAGATGAATATAAAGAAAATTACAATTAAAGTGAATGTGACAAAATAATTTCGATAACCCAAAAGATAGATGGAAATTCATTAAAGTATATTATATATGAATGGTTTGTGAGGTATGTTTTTAAATAAATTTTTTCAATTTAGTGGATGATATATAATCAAAATAAAATGTGAGCTTTCCAAGACAAAACCCTATACGTAATGCTTTTAGGTCAGTAACATGATTTCTTATCTTGTTAGCACACTTGGGATTTGTAAGTTTAATGTCCTTGTTAAAAAATTTATTTAACACACAAATTCCCTGTAGCTAATTTATGTTTGTTTGAGCTTTTATTCATTGCCGTTGTTTTGTGTTTCCACTGTGTGACATTGTGTTATGTCCTCAGGACTTCTGCCACGGTCAGGTGATGTGGCCGCCCCTCACTGCCCTGCAGGTCAAGCTAGCTGAGCCTGGACGCTCCTGCAAGCAGGTGTGTCAGGAGGAGCACCTCATCTGTGAGCCCTCCTTCTTCCAACACCTCAACAAGGACAAGGACCTGGCCAGGTGAGACACACAAACACACACACACTCCTGTATATGCTACATATCAACACTAGGTGGCTCTCTGACTCCACCTCAGCTTCTTTAAAATAAAACAAGGAAAAATAGATTTTTGGATAATTTTAACACTGATTTATTTAGATTTGACAAAACACAAGTTAAAGTATATAAATGTATGGATTTTCAGACTGGAGTTTAACAGTGAGAGACAGATCTATGTTCTATGAAATGTCTGTATTGTCACTGACGCTGGTCTCACCCCTAACAGTGTCTTTCAGCGGTGAGTGGGTATCTCGCCCTCTGGAGGTCACCGTTAAGAGTGTGTCTGGTGAAAGATGGGACCCGCGTCAGTGACAATACAGATGTCTCATAGATCTGTCTCTCACTGTTAACAGACACTACTCTTTGAAAAGCACTGTCACTGATAAACCACAGAGCTGTAGAGTAACATTGGGCTTCACAGGTCCACAGCCCAGTGCCTGTTCTTGGCTGTCCTCCTGTGTCCACACAGCATTTGGTGGGGGTTGAAGGACAGGTGACACAGAGCCCTGTATGCGTCCACATCCTGTTAATTCAGAAAAATAGAACAATTATTTTTTGATTGCAATACTGTAAGAAGCTGCACTTCTTGTCTCAGTTGACAGGTGGAGTTAGAAGTAAACATTAACTGATCTTTGCCACAGTAGTTAATAAATGATTTGAGTTGTCATGTTAGATTATAAACCAGTAAATCAAGGTGGTGCGTTTCAGTAATTGTATTTTAAAATACAATTAGTTACAGCTAAAGCAGTGTAACACTGGTACTGAAAATGTCATTTGCAGAATAGTTTCAGTGTTCTACTTTTTATGTGTGGTTGAGTTTAAACATTGTTAGTTTTCTAGTGTGCTTTTGAGCCAATAGTTATAACATTACAAAATTTGCCTCTGAAATGTAGTGTAGAAGTATAAATGTGCATAAAATGGAAATACTCAATTTAAAAACACCTTGAATTTGATCTGTATGGAGCCAAATCTGTGTCAATAATTTGAAAAATACAACAATGTACTGAAAATAAGAGATTTTTTTCAGTTTAAATATTTTCATTCAGTTCCTCACAATATTTTGATATCTGAGGTCTTATTTCTTCAGTTTCAGACTTTTGGCCTCCGTGTGGTGTGTCGACAGACGACATGAACTGAGTGTGAGTGGAATCATGAGTGACAGCATAACAAAGAAGACGAGGACCCTCCGTTGCCTTCAGGGAAAGTAGGTATTGCAAGAAGTATGACTCAACACTTTCTATACTCCATATTCACGTGACAAAGTCTAAGAGCAATGTTGGCTATTATTTGAGTAGATACTCTGGGAAATTATCTTAGACTGTTTTATGTTGGTCATTTGCAGGCCCAGACAAGGTTCTGTCTCCTTTTTACCCCATTGTTTGGAAAGGAGACACAAAGCCTCGTTAATTCCCAAACTATCTACTCAAATAATAGCCAACATTGCTCTTAGACTGCTGTCAAATGTAACTTCAATCATGTGAATATGGAGTATAGAAAGTGTTGAGTCATATTTCTCACAGTACCCAAGTTCCCTGAAGGCAACGAAGGGTCCTTGTATACGTTGTTATGCTGTCACTCATGATTCGATGCCGTCTGTCCACACACCACATGATGGCCAAAAGTCTGAAACTGAAGAAATAAGACCTCGGATATCAAAATATTGGGAAAGATTATAAATTCAAAAGAGCTCCAGAATTGAATGCAAATATTTAAAGTGAACTTTTCCTACTTTTATGCACATTTATACTTCTACACTACATTTCAGAGGAAAATATTGTACTGTTATCATCATTACAGTTATTTACAGATTAGTTCAAATATTATATAATAACTGTTGGCCCAGATTTGGCTGTATATCTGTACGTCTAGTAACTTGAACACAATGTTCAAACACACCAACTTATTGACACAACACTGAAACTATTCTGCAAAATGACATCTTCAGTACCAGTGTTACTGTTCCACTACTTTAGGCTGTAACTAGTAATGCAACTAATTGCTGAAATTTGAGTGTCATCAATCATTACTGTGGTCTTACCTGAAAATACCACCTTGATTTAGTCATTTATAATGCAACCACAGTTGTACTGTAGTGAGGCTCTGTTAATGTTTACTTCTGTCAACTAAGACATTAAAGTGCTGCATACAGGTAAGAAGACTACTCATTGCTGCCCTCTGGTGGTCAGGAGTGTTAGTAACTAGTGTTGGATAAATTTGTCTTGGCCTATTGTAATTCATGATAATTGATTACTATTTTTCATTAACAGTGGACCTTTAATCAAATGTTTTCTCTTGTGTTATGAATGTGATGCACTCACCTGAAAGTCTGCGCTCTATCGTAACCTTTCCCAACTGTTTGTTGACAGCAGTCCTGTGCTTAACTCCAAGTCCTCCACAGCTGAAAAAGAAGACAATGTAGATTCTGTAACAATAAATACATTGATAATAAAAGCTTTTTGTTACATATCCTTGATAGACATTTTCCTCCACAAGGATCTGTAAAGAGCCAATGGGTATAACAAGTTTATGGATCCATATCTAAAAATAAACTGTCATAGATCCAGTGTGTAATTTTCTGCATACTGCCTGTGACAAATGTCTCACCACCTTAGATAGTATCATATTGTTCTGCATTTGTTTCACTGTTTATTTATACAGCACTGCTTTGAACTTTCACACCTCATTTGTTTTATTTTAGTTAGCCTCCCTGTTTTTGTTGTTTGCTGCCTCTTGTTGCTTTTGCTATATAAATAAAGTTTTATTACTATTATTAATATGAACAATCAGCCACAGCTAAAGTTAGAACTGGAAACCTGTCTTCTATACAAGTTTCTTTATTGTGGGGTTCAAACTGTTTTGTTTTGAACAAGAATATAGTCAACAATATACATCAGAATAAAACCATATGTAAATAGCAAGTTTATACAGCGGGTGTGGCTCAAAGTGCTTCACAATAAAGTGAAGCAACAAGAGAATAAACTAAACCAAGTAAGCAAATAAAACAAAAAGAGGCAGCAATAAACTATGTAAAAGATAATTAAATGAAGTGTCAAAGATAAATGCAGAAAAATACAGAACTATCTAAAAGGTAGTGTCACATTTATATTTCACAGGCACTATGCAGAACATTACACCTGGATCTATAAACTTGTTAAATCATTGGCTCTTTACAGATCCTTTTGTCCAGTCTCAATTTTCAATGATCATTTAAAAATGTTGACATCTGTGTGTTCTTGGGTAGGAAATGCCATAACAGTAAAGGTGAAAGCTCATCAGATTTATACAGTTACATTACTGACTGACAGCCAATAGCAAACATCAATGCTCACTTCTTCCTCATTTAGAGTTAATATAAACACAACTTAACGGTTCATTTGGACCGGGTCATTTTATCATTATTTTTTGCTGCCATCCAAAACTTTACATATGTGCATACACAAATGATTTTTTTACTTTTTTCCACTTGTAAACAAGGCCTAACTTTGTATATTTGACTAAAAAAGGACCAATAATACTGAAAAAATGATAATATATCAATGTGTTGGTCTTGAGTTGCCTAAAAAGGTCCAAGGGAGGACTACACAAGGGTTAATTAATACATCTGACTGAGCCACTGAGTGAGGAAAAGAGGTATCTGACATGATACTTGATAAAAAAAAACAATGTTATGAAGATTTTAAATTACATTTTATAAAAATAACATTCCTCAAATTACAAAATATTATGCTAATGATGTTAGCATAGTTAGATATTGTCTAACTCTGAAACACATTCCTACATGCACACACATAAATATGTATAAGTCCTAACTCCATTTACAAAGGATTGGAAGTTGAGTTTAGTGGCACAACATGCTAATGAGGAGGTGAGGAAGTGAGCATTGATGTTTCCTATTGGTTGTCAGTCAGTAATGTAACTGTATAAATCTGATGAGCTGTCACTGTGAATCACCAGCTCTTTTTTTACCCTCTTGCATAAATTATTATTTAAATGTGTTTTTATTACTTAAAAAAAAAGTCTAATGTAAATATTTGAATTTGATTTTTTTTAAAGAGGGTAGTTGGCAAATTGTTGGCATGGCAACAATGCAAAATTGTGGAAAGAATAAAAAAAAACAACTAAACAAATCCAAATTATAATTAGTGAAAAGCTTTACCCAGTGTTGAAATAGTTAAATTATTAGTTCAATTGTTATTTGAACGTATACTAATACACCTGTAATAACAAGGACGTCATTACCTTAATCAAAAATACATATTTTTACTATTTATTTCATTTAATCATCCTCACTCAGTGTCTTACATTTGATGTCATCAACTTAGATAAACTATTTGAGAGGGATATCACAAGTCTTTGTTATACAATTATCCTTCTTAAATGCAATCAATAGTTAACAGTCTCAGAGTAGCCTCGTGCTGTGTAAGTTATTTACTGTCCAACAGGTTGAATGCACAACAATCACTTCCATATATTTACATATAGTTACCCATATGGAAACAAATACATTTTACTGTTTTACCAAAAAACTATCACATCTAATTTTAATTCTAAGTTAACTCCCTCTAGAGAGTACTTCAGATTTTTGAAGTTTTTCCTAAATATTGAACAATTAACTTTGGGAGCTCTCCGATGTTGTGAGTGGCAAACAGGATTTCCTGGTCATGTGACATCTATTTGTACTTTCAAAGTAAAAGACCCCCTTTTCAGCCACTAAACAGTCAAACATGGATTCTATATTACTTTTAATTAAATTACCATAACACCATGTAATAGAGGGTATCAACGCAGAATACGTTTAATATATAATTATTTACTTTCCTACCCAAGGACACACAGATTGAAGCTCTGAACACTTTTAAAAGCCAATTAAAAACGGATTTCTTCAACAATGCTTTTAACTGCGATGCTGCCTTTGATTTATTCTTATTGTCGTTAGCTTACCTGCTGTTGTAGGAACAGGTTGCAGGTAGACGGGGAGGTCAGGTGATGGGGATCAGATCCAGGAGTCTGGATAAGAAATGATAAGAGTTAGTGTTTGTACTGCAGGTAATGAACACACATTATTACATGTATATATGTCCACTGGGTGGCAGCATACCACAGGTTTGAATTCATGTGTTGTCATCCAGAGTGGTGACTCTAGATGAAGCACTTTAAACTGCAGTAACGTTATTACCACCAGAGGGCCCAGTTTGTCTGCTGGGTGAAATGGGTCAATAGAGGAGAATTCAGTCTGAAATTAAAGTGTAAAAAGTTTCATCTGTCTTCCTGCCAGGTTTGGTGTGGACTGTCAGACGGTGGAGTCGAGTGCCGACACGGTGGTCCCCGCCTACAGCGAGTCCCGCCACCACTGCATCTTCCAGTCTGACCTGCTGCTGTTTAGCTGCGCAGGCGCCCACCCCTCGCTGCAACGCATCTGCCCCTGCCGCGACTACATGAAGGGCCAGGTGGCGCTGTGCAAGACCTGCCTATAGCAGCAACACACAAGCTGATGGGAGGAGAGAGGGAGGGGATGCTGACGGAGGATTTGGGTTTTGGGGGGGGGTTGGACGAGGCTGAATGGAGTTTAAATGAGTGCCGTCAATCAAAACGCACGCACCAGACTTTTTGTTTTGTTTGTGGGAAGCGGTGTGGACAGAAACATTTGTGCGACTGCGTCCGTTTATCATATTTATTGTTTTCCACAGCTGCTGGACGTGAAGTGGTCCTGCAGCCGACCCGAGCATCCATCAACCCTCTGATTCACCAGCGGTGGCGCTGCGAGTCCCTGAAGCGGCGTGAAATTACTTGAATCAACTAAAAAAAAAAAAGGGAGTCGTCTCAGACTTTAAACCTGCAGCAGATGAGTTCTCTGCTGCCACCTTGGTAGACTGCACATATCAGCGACAGCCTGTCTGTCTGCCTGTCTGTCTGTCTTCAGGATCACGACAGCGAGGGACCAAGGAGACTCAAACGCCCCCCTTCCTGACAGCCGCCCCACCTTCCTCCCCTCCACTCCTCCCCCTACATCCCCTCCCCTGTTCAAATCTGAAACTGTTTATTCTTTTGGTAGGTTTGCACTGGACTGGCATGCCTGAGGGCCCACATCCCCCCCCCCCCACACACACACACACAGGGGGGCTTTTCCCCGCCTAACCAGACAGGCTCAAGAAGAACCAGTTTTACACTGTAACTGACTCGTTCCTCTCTTCTGGCGAGAGCGGACAATGTAACGTAGATATCTAGATTTTTATCCTCCAGACTTAAAGCAGTCTTCGTCCCCCCCTTTAAAGACAGGAAAGTGCAGTCGTGGATCAGTCGGTCCCACGATTTTCATACGTTAACGTTCAAGTTACTCGTTTTAAAACGACAGACATTTTATTTGAAGCTATAAAGCGGAGGGAAGCCTGTGTGTTTGTACGAAAGGCCAGTAGAGAATGGCAGTCCCGGTCCCACGCAGAGGGGGAGGGTCGTTCTCTGTAGCTAAAAGCAGGTACAGAGTCGCAGTGTCGTAGGATGTCGTGACGTTGTGTTGTAGATGATAGACAGTCGTCAGTAGCCGTGGTAACACCTAGATGCATCGCATCCCAGGCTAGGAAGCCACAACAACAACAACAACACCATATTCTCCCAAAGCCTGCAGAGAAACATGTAAACCTTACCGAGATGTTGTCTGTCTTTTTTACGTACACGAGTCTCAACACAAACATCCACCAGACGACAAGCAAACTGTAAGCAACACAAACATGTCAACAAAGCGTCCCTGCAGCGCAACGAAACCTCACAGCTCATTTTCTTTGGATAATCATTTAGGATTTTAATTTGCCTGCAGATTTGCGAAGATAAAAAAATGATTAAGGTAAAATTAAAATACGTAGTTCTTGTGGTGAATGGAAAAAATGCACTACGTTAATCTATTCGCAGGTTTAACAAGATATTAGTAACACTGTATATTGTTCATATGGGTTTTAAAGTTTCTTTTTTATTTATTTTATATACACAGATCTTTATCTCTGTTTTGCTGGGGAAAAAAATCTTTTTTTTTTTAATTTATAGGAGGGGTCTCTTGCTTTTTTCCCCCCTTTTTATAGATTTTTATTTATGGAGAGTAATTTAAAAAAAATGTAAAAAAATAAGCGTGCTTATCTAAGTGTATGGGGGGGGGATGGGGGGGGGGGGGTCTTTGTCTGCGTCTGCTTCTGTTCAGCTTCCAGCAGTGATGTGAGGAGGAAAATAATCAATCATGCAACGTTGGTAATAAAAATTACTATTTCTCCATTTCTGAGCTCAAATTGGGACAAAACCATTTTTTAAGCACAAATTACATTTTGTTGAGGAATTATTGTCACCTAAAGAATAATTTAATTCTAATATAACTCCAATCCTACTTTCACAGTTTTATATTAAATGTTTGAACAATTAAACGTGATTTGATATTTTATTTCTTAAAAAAAAAGGCTAAATAACGTTAGCTACAGGTTTTTAACTGCAGTCCTCTCATCACTGTCTCTTGAAGACGGACAGCAGTGGACAAACATTGATCATGGTGAAAGCCAGCAGGAGCCTCACACACTCTGCTTTGATTTCCAATCGCTGGTTTTATTTTGTTGCACAACTCTGAACCTGTACTTCCTCTCTGTGTCAGCTCAGACTGTTTCTTTTTTTAATTTTTTTTTTTTTTTAAAAAGGAGTCAGTGATCTGCCGCCAAGTTAGTGTTTCAAAGAACATGATGTGCCTTTTTCATGGTTAAGTTTGGTTCTGCTGCAGTGTGTCAGAGATCAACTATTCAACATGTGAACCTGAAACAACAACTTCCAGCCTTCAGTCCTAAATTAAATCCACAGAGCAGATCAAGGAATCAGTTCTCTCTCATTTCCTGAGTTTTATTGTTTAGTTAAATTGAAATCATTTAAATCTTTTATCTAATTTAATACAATTGAAATCAGTTAATTTAATCTGTTCAAACCTTGTGATGCGCTTGAGTTGCTCAGATTCTGTTTAAAGTTTACTGATTAACTTTTAGCAGCCTAACAAAGGATACCGCCACTGTAAACTGTCAGTACATTCAGATATACATGTTTTATAGTAATCAGATTACACTGAATTTGGTGTTCTTTTTCCTAGTTTACAAACGAGGAAGTAAAGTTTTACTGTAAACTGTATAAACTGGTGTTTTGGACTAGCACGTGTACGCTTTCGTGGGTTTTCTGGTTTAATTACTCTAAACTAATTACTCGCAGCGGTGTGGGTTCAGAAGAAACTACAGTGGTGTTATCCTTTCGTTTAAAAAGGATAAAGTTCACGATATTCTATCACTTTTTTTTATTGTCAACAAACTTCCCTACCCTGTCTGTGGCTCTCAGGCCAAAGACTGAAATCTTTACAAGAGCTAACAAATATATATAATTAGATTGTTTTCAAAAGCCTAAATTATTTCCTGAAGCTCAACTCTTTAGCAAAACGTCACTTAATTAAAAGAAAATAGTGAATTTGTTGAGGACTATTTTCAGCTGTGGATTAGTACATATTGGCTTTATACCAACGTTGATTGTATTAAAGTTACAGGTCACCCTCAGCAACACTGGAGCTCACTGATGTGTCTTTAATAAAAACAATGGAGCTCTACGGCACAAAGGAATAATAGATATGATATGTTAGAATACATTCATTGTTTCCTTCATTTGTTGACAATAAGAAAACTAGAGAATATCTGCACTCTTATCCTTCTACATGTCAGAGTTCAAACTAGAAATCTAAACAAATAATGAAACTTTATTTTTCAATAAAAATCCAGAAACATTTTGACACGTCCTTAAACAAGAGACCACCGACGTTTCTGTGAGCAGCTGTTTGGACGAGCAGTCGGTCAAACCTGTTTTGTTGCAGTAAAAGCCTTATTTACTTTGTGTTAGTTAGCATGCTATTGATCACATTATCAACTGTTTGGTTTCAAGAGAAATCGGCTCCATCAGTTGTTTAAATGGTTTCCTCACCATATCTGTCTTGTTAACCTCAGCATTGAATGTCTCCATTGTAAAATGAAAACCTGCTACTTACAAACAAACTCAATCTTTTGTTTTTCAATCTCAACCTTGTTTGAAGCCGTCAGTTCGCATCTGGTGACTGTGGTCCGAGCAACGAAAGGTGAATAACGCAATGACAACATTTGTTTTTTTTGTTTTTCCACAGTCCTTGACGAGTAAGAGGGATATAACTTTATTTTTAAATAAACCTTTTTTCTGTGACAAAAGGCTCCGACTCTGGTTTAATATTTGTTTTACATCACAGCAATACAGATTCAGTATTTACACCGGCACAGAAAGTACAGTCAGCAGCTCGAGTCCCACAGTCTGTTTCAGTGAGTCAATCAGATATGGAGATACATGTGGGCCTCAATGTGTAGAGCACAGATATTAGATTTTACAGAGGAATTACTACCACAAGTCTTTATATGGATAACAGCGAAGGATCAGGATTCATATTTAAAGCTCAGCTTTATTTGTTATTAATTGAGCTAAAATGATTATTCGATAACAAAATTAATATATTTATATAATATTTAATAATTTGTAAGTGAGTGAAGAATTTTATTAACCTTATAAACAAAACTGTCTTTGTTACAACTTTAATTTTAAATACCTGATGGTTTTCTTTAATAAACTGAATATATTTGGGACAAATTTGTAGACAATTTTAACCAAACAATTACAGATAATAGGGAGATTAATCAATAAAGAAAATAACTAGCTGTCCTATATGGTAATAATTCATCTATAAAACAGATGTGCTTCCAAAAAGGGTTTTTCTGAGCTCAATGTCACATTTTAGGCACAAATATAAACTCCATAAACTGATTCTTCTCTAAGTTAAACACAGTTCTAAAATGTGACTAAGCATAAATCCACAGTAACACATTTTTGCGCCGTATAAATTCACATCACTGTGTGTACATTCAGTTACAGTCACTGCAGCAAACACAGACTTGAGGAAAACCTATGAATACATCTGACACAAGAACCATCCCCTTTTAATCTCTGACAGTCACCTGATCTTTACATTCACGCTCCACAAACACTGATCAGTAAGATTTAAGGCTCTGGAGCTAAAAAATGAGCCCAGATGGGACGGAAAGTTGGGTCAGTTTGGTTATTTTAAAAAGGTTGTTCTTCCATATTGAGGACATACTGTAGGAAAGAGCTTCCTTCTCAACGCCTGCGAGCAGTTTTGTTGCCACTGTGCTTCAGTAAACTCAGTTTTGTGCTTCTGTTCACATTCACTTCTACATTTGAGGCTCATGAGCTGCAGCTCCAACCACACTGGAGGAAAGTAAAGAGCTGAGCTGATGGAAGAGACCTAAATCAAATATATATTGTTAACAATAAGGTTGTCATAAATTATAACTATTACTCCACAGGTCAATGGACTTAATTCACCAGAATGATTAGATATTGGCCTCAAAAGCAAACAGCAGCTGCAGATAAGAGGACACATATTGACTCTGCACAATCAACAAGATAAATATTGACTTGTCTGTTCTCCAAAACTGTCACTGCAGTATTTGTGATGTGGCCAATTTCACCAACGTGATCAGTGGTTACACAGATCGAGCATCACATACAGAAAAGGTGACAAAGAGGGAGCAATATTTTACCACTTTAACACTGCAGAGTTTGAAATGTACGTGATGATCCTCAGTTCAACAGATTCAAGTGTAATAGTCAGTTTGGCCTCACTCTGCTTTCAGTACACAGAAAGTGGAATCCTTCACAGTACGATAATGAAATATTTCATAGTACAAAGTGTCATTTGGTTTCCTGCACGCTGTCAGCACTGAGTTCATTATAGATAAGCTCCAGTCAGGGTCCTTCATCAGGCAGCAGCACAAGAGGAAACGCACCAAATGCTTCTCGTTGTGCTCGAAGGTTACAAAGCCCAAGACAAAAACACTCAGACACAGAGGCTGAGCTCTCCATTAACTAGTCTCAGTCATTGCTGGTGGGTGCTTGTGCACCGATTACACTGGAACCAAAAGACAACCAATCAGAAACCAGGATAATGCTGCTAATACAGAGTGTCAACTAACTTCTGTCGCACTAAAATGAGCTCAACCAGCCTACAGAAGGAATTCATGGCTCTTAATGTGGACAAACTCACAATCACATGACCAGAGGACTCATTTCTAAAGATTGGAGGTAAAGGATATGCGTAAAGCTCAGCCATGGGAAACAACGAGGCCAGAAGACAAACATAACAAAATCACCACTACACATGCCTCTAACTGTGGATATATTTATTATTATCACCACTACAAGTATCGATTCATCAGCAGTACTGAAACCAAACTGGGGCAGAGCTGTGCGCAATGGAGACGCGCCAAACTCCCTTTAAGAAATGCGTCAAATTAACAATTCCTTAGGTATCTGTAAAAACACACAACTCTAATAACGCAAGATAAAGAGGGTGATATTTCGACAGCCTTATTGTCAATTCGGCATCAATATAATCCATAAAGATAAACTGTATTTCAGTACAGACTAGATTCAGTTCGCTACCAGCCTCCGTTGGTTAGTTGTGTTATTTTAGTGGGAGAAGACTGAGGGAATCAGAGGCGGACAGCTTATAAAAATACGATTTATCAATAAAATAAAAGCTTTTTTGTTGCTCGATATTCGCCGAATTAAACACAGACTCATAACAATGTTAATTCACTGTGAACTCGTGTGTGTGAGACGGTTTTTAAGGAGTTTTTTTCGGTCGTTACCAAAGTAACTTCACGGTTTGCTGGTTACATTCCTGAGCTATTCATTATCGACCATGTACGGGTGACAGGTGTGCGCCGCACGGGTTCACACACCTGAATGTTCCTACAAATAAGGCCGCAGGATTTAAACTAAAGCCCGAACCAACAGGGGCCCAAAGCTGCTGCTAGTCTCCAAACCAATGAACACAATATTGAGTAAATTATCTCTGAAAGCACTGAAACCCTCTGAGACACTCCCCAAACATTTGCACTCACAGCTGCGACCAGCGTTAAAGCCTCAGTTAAACACACACACGCACACACACACACACACCGAATTAAACAAAGCAACAAAACTGAGACCGAACAGGGCAAAAATAATAACATATTAAAATCTAGCTCACCTATTGAGAGTCCATGCAGGAGTGTGTGTGTGTGTGTGTGTGTGTGTGCAGACACTGCGGGAGGCCGCAGGTGAAACTCATCAACTAATCAGCCTCCACTAGCTGGAACAACCCACAATACACAGCGGCTTCACCCGTTTCCTTTCCATTGATCCTGACATATACATGTTTTTATTGATGGGTGAACTTTCTGTTTTTATTGGTTGCTGCAGCTTTTGGCTCCACTGTAAACATGTTTAATGTTGCACCTTAAAGGTTTTTATCTCTACTGACCCTCAGTGCTGACAGTTTTTATTTATTTTATTTATGTATTAAAGCTTTCTTTGACCTGTAAATGTTTGTTCACAGACTTCCAGCTGTATTAGATTCACATTCAAATATGTTCACAAGTGTATCAGGTACCTCTTCTGGTCAGTAGATGGCGCAAGTATAATGATATTAACTGCAAAACCCAAATCAAAAAGGTGGCAACCTGAAGTAAACGGAGCTAGTTTGAACCATTTTCCTTGTGTGTGACGTTCAGTGAAGTGGAGGGTGAGTCAGGTCAGGGCTCTGGGTTTGAGACTGAATGCCAATGATGATGATTTTTTATCCTCCAGGACTGTAAGCTGGCATTAGGTTGCTGAAACAGTGCCCACTCCAGGCTTCCCTGCTCTCACCAACAGTCCAGATAAATATTGTAAACAGCAAATCACATTACTGAGCCCCTCTCTCTCTCTCTGTGTGTGTGTGTGTGTGTGTGTGTATACCTGCTCCCTATGCCAAAAGGGCCTTGTACTGATATATCCTCTCTAGTCATAAAAAAGGTAAAACACCATTAATACTCCACTGCTACATCAGCTACATCAATCAGTTTGCACTGCGACATTTTATAGCACAGCTGAGCAAAGGCCTCTAGGAACCATGGGGAAAAATAAACTGCTGTGTTTTGTATTGTACATCAACTCGCTGTACAAAAAAAATAAAATCTGTTGCTTTTACAGAGTTATGGACTCTCGGGGGTCCATATGTCTCCTGCACGCTGCGGTCCGAGCTCCTCTCTCCGTCCTGTCGGTTATTTCTGTCTCAGTTAGTTTAACTCCCCTCCACAGTTCCCTCAATCTCTTTAACCCTTTAGTTTAAATACGGAGGTAATGAAAGAAACAGACTGCCCACTCACTGTTAATGACAGATAATGATATATTTACACCAAATTGTTTAAAACACTTAAAAGGTTCCAAGAATTGTATCCGCCCACACTGTGGATCCTCAGTTCAGATCTTTGAATGGGAGGACTGTACAGACACCAGAGCCCCCTGCTGGCACCTTGAGGACTCAGTGTGATTGTCTAGGGAGACAGTAGGGACTGAAACCAACGTCCCTCTTCTGTCAGTCAGCCCCCCTTCCATCCCTCCCAAAAACCCTCCTCTTCTCCTTCTTTTCTTTTCCTCTGTGGTCCGTCACTCAAAGCGCTCGTAGTTCCTGGTTTGACGGACCCGTGGGACCATGTCCAGCAGCAGCCTGCGGTAGAGGAAGAAGAGTTTTTTTTTAGAAAGAGTTGATGCAACACAGTGGGGGGAAATAAACCATATGTGTATGTGTTTATTGAGACGCTGCAGACAGGCTTGAATTCATTTTAGATTTGGGGGGTTTTTCAAAGCAGAAAATCTCCCTGCATCAGCACTGATGATAAAAACTCTTCAGAGAGCTCAGGAGAAAGATGGATTCAAAAAACCCATCTGTTGTTTGAAGAGTATTGTTTCTACAGAACGGGCAGAAGTTCTGTTCATTGCCTGCATTCAGGATTGATTTTAATTGGTAAAATGATAACGGCTGTTTATGGAAGTCTGGAGGTCAGTAATAGCTTGATTTAGACGGCGTAATCTCAACAAAGGAACCTCTGCTGGCTGGATGTTCCTTCCTATATTGTTATTTACAATTAAAAACAGAAGAGCTGCTAATATAGAGACACTTCTGAACCAACCTAGTTCCTCCTTATTGAAACCAAACTGCTTTAATAATAACTCTTGGTCAACAGAAGTCAACAGATACAGCTTTAAAATTGATTTATCAATGATTGATGATGATTGGATTAAAGATGAAGCAGAATAATTGGCCTGTATCCTCACATAAAACCACCAGATTGAACATTTGTCAGTTTATAAATGATTCAAATACTTTTGCCAGAATAGATAACTCCACTGTTCTACTGTTACTGTTAGTAGATCGCTTTAAATCAGAGGTTCTTAACCTTTTTGGTGTCAGGGACCCCCAAATTAATACACATCAGGCAGTAAACCTGTATTGGGATCAGGGATCTCTCATTGGGCTAATGAAATAATAGCAAATATTCCCAATTTTTCTCAGGACCCCCTGGAAAACCCTCAAGGTCAAACATCTGAGGGACGTATCATGCTTTTATCATCTTGTTTATGGTCATACATTCACATTAACTACCAGAAAACTGTACATATTTCTGTCTGTTAACCAAATAAGTACTCATCATCTTTAAACAACCCCTCTAATAACCTCCAGTAATCACTTACTTGACTCCATAGGCGAGGATGATAAGACCTATGAGGACGCCTATTGTCCCATCCAGGTACCACACATTGGGTTCGTGCTTGAACACTTCAGCACTGATGAGGATGGAGAACCCCATGACTCCCCCCACCAGTGAGTTAAATCCTGGAAAGAGAAAAGAAACCACAAGGTGAGCTGACGGAGGATTTGTAGGCTCAGTGTTGGAATTCAGCCCTCTTTGTGTTTAAGCTTCCCTCGGACGCCTGCTAAGAGTCCAGTGGACATGTGATATTGACTGCTGTGGCCTCCTACAGAGTGTCTAGTGACAGTGGCAGGTTCTTGAAATGCCTCTTATACCTGTCATATGGTGAAAGGTTATCTCATTAAACCAAAATGCAACCGTGTGAGTGTTAGAGACAGTGATGTTACTAGAAACATTTGGTAAATGGACAAGGTGAGACAGTTAATTAAAGAATTGTACAAATATTCTTTACAAATTGCTCGAAAACATAATGGTCTTAATCTAGACGTACAATGACCGGAGAGTCTGCGGCGTTCGAGCGCGTATGTGCACACCTACCATCAGTGATGAGGGCTCGGCTCGTGAGCACTTTGCCGAGCATAAACTTGACCACAGACAGGATGATGCACAGCAAGCCACTGACGATGGACACGCTGAACAGGAATCCATCCTGAGAGAGACAGACAGAAGCAGAGAGAGAGACAGTAGGTGTCATGGTTTAATGCTGGGTCCTCCCTCAAAGTGCACCACTGGTTGATTGAGCTACAGAGTTTGTTCGTTGTCAGTTATTATGATAATGGCAGCAATTAAAAAAGTAAAACTATACTACAACTGGATTTAAACTTTCTTTCCAGTCACCACAATCCAAACGAGACAAGAGGGGAGGATAAAAATGTTGATGGCTACATGTAGATCTTCTTCAATTATTACTATGCACAGCAGTAGGTTTTACAAGCAGTTGCAAGTGCTTTTAGGACTTTTTTACCCTAGTTTTTGTCTTTCAGGCTAAATATGGGCATTGAAAGATCTCCTATTATTGCTGACAAGACCAGTGACTTCTTAAGGCAGCTGCAGCCACAGTGCAACCACAGCTCATTCAGAAATGGCCGCGGTCGAGCCACTTGTATATCACATCACCTCTCCTCTTGACCATTCACTCCACTTACACTCCCCATAGCTCTTGTTTTATTGCTAATTTACTTTCTTGTTGCAGCTATTGTGACTCTCACTGGAAAGCCTAAAATGTAAAGGCACAAAGGACATATGGGGGAGAGCGAGGGATGGGTGAGAGAAGAGAAAGCGAGCTGCAGAGCACTCAGTGCCTCTGCGGCAGCATTAATATTGCACTATGGCCTTGGAGCCATGAAAAGCTACTTTGGCGAGCTCACAGACATCAAAGAGGAGATGGAGAGAAAACCTCAGCATGCTGCATAAAACCTTAGTCAGTGTTGTGACTCAGCTGTGAAAACAAAATCTCAATAGCATATTATCCTCAAAATACTGAACACATTCTTCAGAAAGGACACATCTTTAGTTTGAGGAAATACAAATGTTCACATATATTTTTCAAATGGGAGGTATTAATAATTTGCTATGGTTTTAACTTCTTTACTTTTATGGGATGAGTTGGAGGCTGTTGGGGAAAATTAATCTACAAGATAAATTATACTTAAGTCGGGATGTAGATATTAATGGTACCTTATTAGATCCAACAGTGGTCACATGTGGTTCCACAGGGATCAATCCTAGGCCCCTTTCCCCCCCCTCATATATGTAAACTATATGAAATCTTATGTGTTTTACTTGTTTAAATCATCTGGTAACAAACAAGAGGTCTAGTCCAGAAGTCTAATTCCTGTTTGAAATGTTTAAGTAAATGAAAACGTTTATTAATATTAGTTGCAAGATGATATTATATATGGCTTTAAAACAATCAAGAACTGATTATGGATGTAATTTCTATTACCGAGGTCTTTCAAAGCATCAACAGAACATCTTACAGATTGATAAAAAATAAGACATGTTACATTTTTGATTATAGTGAAAAAGTGCATTTAATTATAGGATATTATAAACCATTAAAATAAGTAAACATTGCTAATAAGGTTTGGTATTTAGCACCAGGTCATGTGCACAAATGACTATGACTGTCATCTGTAAATGACTATTTACAGATGTTTGAGCACAGCATAGGTACAACAATACTAGTCTGAATTCAGTATAAATTAAATTAATTTTGGTGTATGGGGGCCAACATTTGGGAAAGCTTACCAGATAATGTGAAACACTGGAAATCTATTTCTATTTTATTATACTTATATTATAAGCTGAAATTAAAAGAGGAAAGATGAGTGGATGTACTTGATATTTTGGCAGAAGTGTACTTTTTGTATAATGAAAAATAACTACAAATGTAGCTGAGGTACAGTAGCTACAACAGCTCCTTCACAGTAAAAGCCTTCAAGTGATTTAGGGGTATTAATCACTTTGCTGTGAAGTTGCTGCAGGAGGTGTACTTTGTTCTAGCAGTGTTTAAAATTACACGCCACAGCGATGGACATCATGCTCCATGGTATCTGGATATTCCAGTCCTCAAAATTCAATACTCAAATTTACTGGTGTGTCTTTAATCTGACACAAACCGTCTTGGGAGCTTTACTGAGAATATAACAGGGACCTCTGAAAGTTCTGACTCCAAGGGGTAAGCTGAAATCGGAGAGACGAGTCGGCAATGGGGACAATCCCACCAGATGTGACCTTCTAATCGAACATTCAGAGTGGGCTTGGGCTGGCATTTTGGCGCGTATGGGAGCGGGGACACACACACACGACACAGCACACACCACACAGCACACACACACACAGCACAGCGGCACACACGGAGAGGTAGCGAGCTTGGTTGGACAAAAAAGTTACTCTGCCCGAGAATGAGATGAAGAACATATGGCTTGGACGATTTACGTGCTGAGCATACAGAATATGCAAAAATGGCATCTTCTGTCTTTCGGAGGGTGGAAAAGTCAGGAAGGGCTAGACAAGTGGTAAGAACTTGAAGAAAGTATTTTTCAGCGAGTTTCGTTCATGGGTCAAAAATAAGATGTACAGTGTTGTGTATGTTGTCTGGATGCTTAGGTGTGGTGCTGCAGCAGCTCCGCAGTGCACATCAACGACTAATGGGACGATGTTAGAAAAAACGCTGAATTGTGACACACATGCTTTTTCTTCTGTGACGAAAGACCAAATGCTTACGAGAGGAAATACGCTTAGCATATCTAGCACCTCTAAAGCTTAGTTCCAGCACATAACTCGTCACGAAAGTTGTCGGTTTAACATTTCGTTTTTTGTGAGGATTAAACAAACGAGACGCAGCCTGATAGTTAGTAAAGCAAAGATTAAACTTGATGTGAGGAAATAATCTTACTGCACTGATTTTATTTCACTTGTTTTGGTAAAATAAGACTTGTGATTTCTATTTTAAAAGTTTTCTGGTGGCTTTTGGTGGATTTCATAAGCCCCGAGTTTGTAAAAGGTCACTGCAGCCCTTCAAATGAATTAAATCTGTTGGGATTTCACAAACCAGCGTTGAAATGCCCGAATGAAGACTACAGCTTCGTTTTGGATGCTAACTGACATTAATTGGGCTCAGGGGACTAGCAGAGCAGGAACAGTCAGGTGTCAAAAACCAAACATCCTCCTCCATGTTGCTTCCTCCTCTCCTACCCCTCTCTCTCTCTCTCTCTGTGTGTGCCTCCTCTCCCCTCTCTTTCTCACCACTGCATACCTAAGCAGCTGCTTACCTTATTAATATTTCATAGCGCGGAGGAAGAGAGAGGCGGGGTGGTGAAAATGAACCTGATTTTCAATATCTGCATACTGAGGAGGGCTGTGAGGAATACACAAGCTGTATATATATATATAAATCCAGTCCAACTGTGATGCACCAGAAACCAGTGTGGTAGAACCAGAGTGTGTGACAGAAGAGGAGCAGGTCGACTCAGAAAAAAAATCTGTCTGCCTCACCGCTCCCACAGTCTGCCTTTGTTTATGCTTTGGTGCTCGCTGTCTATCAGGCCTGTCTCTCTCTCGCTGCAGCTACAGATGAAAAGATGGAAAACACAGTTGGTCCAATAAATCAATAGAGGATTTGGAAACTAATTGAATTTTGAGCCCAAGTGAGTTGCAAAGGCTATGTGACACTCTTTATCTTTCTCGTAGTATATTTTGTTCTGCAGCGGATTCCAAGAATATTAAAAATATGATTGAAGTGTCTCCAGCTATGTTGATGAATTTAGGTTTCTATCCCCTATATGTCAATCCCTAAATCTAACTTTAGCACTGTGTACAGTAACCGAGTCTTTGTGTTCTGTCTTTCTATATTTCCTAATAGAAAAACTAACTTCTTAATAACAATATCAGAACTAGGGTTAGGGTTATTAATTATTAGTTATTAATTTACTATATTACAAGACAGTTGACAGTAGACAAACTTAAATAAATAAACTGTCATCCTATAAAGCAGTCAGGGTTTTGGTCTTTCAAACACACCACTAATAAAACATACAACATCACCTACCCCAGTTCCCTATACTGGGATAGTCTATACTTCACTTACATTTAATTTCTAATCTATATTATAGAGTTATTATAATCCTCGTTGTCATTATCACCATTAATGATAATAATAATACAAAATAAATGTAATTTCACTCTTAAAACTGTCTAGTAAATATTTTAGCAACGTGTAAACGGGTTCAATCTTCCAACAATAACAGTTATAGGTCAGCAAACAATAAACTCAACTCAACTTACAATCTGTGTAAATGTAGTTAGGACTTATACATATTTATATATACGTGTATGTAGAAATGTGTATTCATTGCAATATTCATGCTGTTTAGAATTAATAGGAAATATATAATTATGTGAACATCATTAGCATAACATTTTGTAATTGTATATTGTGTTATTGTAACAGGAATCATGTCAGATACCTTTTTTCCTCACTCAGTGGATCAGTCAGTTAGCTTAGTTGGTTAAATATTTGGTAAAAAACTAGAGATTAGTTTAATCTCAATTTCAGTATTTTCATTCAATCTTAAGTAAAACTGTTTTTTTTCCCCCCTTTTATTTTTCTAACTGTATATGTGCTAACATTTACTCTTTCTATGGGCTGTACTCTGAAATAGTCACATTTTAAGATCCTGTTCTCTGATTTTTATCTTGAAACAGTTGTTAGCAATTAGATGATTTACACAACCTATAAAAACAGTCCAGGAGTTGTACAATAAATACACTCAATCTATGAAGCATATAATCATCGGAGGCTAAAACAGACTATTATTTATCCAAACTCCACCGATGTGAGTTAAATCACAGAGCTCAGAGGAAGGAGGCAGTGACGAGAACAGGAATAATCTCTCTGCAGTAATTCAGTTTCCATATTTACTCATCATCATCATCATCATCACTATTACGCTCACATCCTCAACAGCGTTTCTAAGGAGATGACTATTGCTCGGCAACAGGGTGATGAAGTTATTCCAGGAAGTGTGAAAGCTCCTGAGTCTTCACACCTGAGATTTGTGACATTCTGCAGCAGCAACAACAGCGCTGTTACACCTCTGTCACATACACACACATTGTTAATGGAAATAAAACAAAACCTAATCTGATGTTCAGTCTGAAAGTCACGTTTTGGTGAAATCTAAAGCTGCTGCACAATCATTTTGTTTGCTTTTGGTCCAATTTGTCTTTAAACATCAATATACCTCCAAGCTTGATTGTTTGTTTGGCACATTTAACAATATATGAAAGTATTTTGCTTGTTTCGAGTAAAAATAAATTACACTTTTAGGTCAAGTTTTGACAAATGTAGATGCACATTTACAGTGTGATACTTGATGTCTAACATTTTTCCTTATGGTCGAGTCTAACCCTCATGTACAAACACACACTGCAACAAAATCCACCATCACAAGACATGAAAATCACTTACATGAACACACAACTCACTGCCAGAGTTACAGAAAGTATGTTTAGTTGCTTTACATGAGAGATTTCTGTATTTGGGGCTCAATTTGCAAAAAATGTGACTTCACGTATCTCTGTGCACCAATCAGGGTTTAGCAACATTTGTGGGGGTTTTTTTTGGTCACCGTCAGTCAAATCTGATCAAATCACACCCACATAGTCCTGATGAAGCAGATTGGTTTTTGAGTGTTGAAATCTCAATAAACCTAAAGATCATCAGAAGTGGGAGATAATTTACTGCTTTAAGGCCTTTTTAAAATTTAAAATATTGATTAATGCTTATATAAGTCAAAACAATGTGACAAATGTTGCAGATTGGACAAGAGTAAAGACAAAACTTCACAATTTGTGCTGAATCTGCACAACCTACATGACCCTCACACCATCCAACTAAAGATTCTGAGTCAAAACTACGTTTGCAGCCTCCAAATCAAATTAAAATCAGATCATCTAGACTTGATTTGTGATTTCTTTAGCCAAAACCGTCCATCTGTTCATTAACGACAGTGAGCTGCCTGTTTAAGACTGGAAACTCTCCTCTTTATGGTTTGTCCAACCCCCTCCCCCCCAGTGACCAGCACCATGTGACGACCGAAGCTGAATATATGCCGTCTTATCAGACGCTCTGCCGGTTCAAATGGCAAAATGGGGACACAATCAGCCACGTTACATCTGCAGCTTCATGCAAATCACGTAAATAACTGCCTGCATCTTGTTTGTCTTGGACGCCGAGGAGTACACGCAGATTTTTTGATTTTGAGAAGATATTATTAGATAGAGGCACAAAGTCCACAGGGCTTTTTTTTTTTTGGATTTTAAGTGAAATCCTGGACTCTGGCAGACTGGTGGTATTACAGCGGGGAGAGCAGACAAGTCCTGGCTGGACAAAGTGGTCGTCACTATGTGGCCAAGCTTTAAAAATAACTACAAATTGCACCGAAAAATCTGATTAGAAACCAAAGTTTTGGCTTAAATTCCGCATCCTGACTTCAGTGAGAGGGCCACGGCCATTAAATGACCCTGTTTGACTGAAAGCTGACAGTAATACAGCTGTCCTAGTGTATTACTGAATGTTAATGTGTTTAGGGTTGGTTTTTTTTTTCCGTGTTAAATGGATAACATAATCTGTCCCATATGGTGGATGTTTTAATCCAAAGCTCTCCTCCATCTCTAGTTTGAATCTGACCCCGCACTACGGTCAGAGTCATTTCTACACACCGATATATACTGTAGGGGTAAAATACATGGTCCTACACTCTAATCGAGTTTTATGTAGCTTTATCTGGTGTTTTGTTGTGTAAAAAGTGCAAATTAACTTTGAAATTCAAAAATGTTCATGCTGCTTTTAGAGATCTGTTTAAATCTGTGTTTTGTGTCTGATAAATTCTTACCACTTCAGGTAGCAGCTTGGTGGCCAGGTCGTGGATGGCCTTACCCAGAATGCACAAGGAGGACAGGATGAAAATCACTCCCAAGATAACACAGGCTCTGCGGAGGAAAAGACAGGTCACTAACAACACATATTACAGTTCCAACTAGGATTGTGTGAACCAATTGACAGCCCTGATACTCCCCAGCTGTTAATACAAATGCTCTTTTGGCACCATTAAGTGGCAGCAGAGAGGAAATTATCTATCTCAAAATCTACCTCAGGTTTCTTCTCCAGCGGACATTTTGCCCTCGATTCTGATACAACAGTCAACACCGATGATGAAAACCAGATCAATAATGAAAGTGTGGAAAGTGGTAAAGCCAGGATTTTAGAAATACTGAGCTCATGATTAATCAGAGTTATCTCAGCTTAAAACATTTAGGAAAAAGCCTGTTACAGACTGCAGGTGTGGGTTTAGGTGGGTATTTAGGAGGTGGGCAGGGCGTCTGATTACAGATGTATATGGGTGGCATTAAAGGGCAATATATTGGTATATGTAGTATTCAGTGTTTTTGGGCGCTTGATCCATATTAAGAGCTAAAAATCAGGATATCTCGGAGTTAGACCATTCTTATTGGAAGTATAATATTAAACTGCCAGAGTGCTTCATTAAAAAAACAACATGTGTAAAGATATAACGTAAACGCTTCCTGAAGGGATTAAAATTTCCAAATTTTGAGAAATATTACCAAGAAGATGACCTTCTTCTTCTTCTTTTCTCACAAATTTTGGATCAAAAACTGATAAAAACACATTTTCTTGTGACCCTAAAAATAATCCTGAATGACAGATAATTGTGCTACACTGATGTACAGAGTGAAGACTTATTGGGAAGCAGCAGATGTCCTTTTAAAACCTTTATCCAATTAACAAAGTCTAGAGGGAGACAAAAACACAATTGAGCATATGCCCCGGTCATGCATGGCTACCAGTGCGTGCTCAATTCTGAAGGCTGCTCTCGAGCAACTCGGTGTCCTGGGTTTTGACCGGATGAGGTAACCAAGGAAACACCCAGCATCCCTTTTGGAAGTCAACAGCAGGATACACACACAGACACACACAGACACACACACACACACAAACGTACACACACACCCACCATGGGAGCTCTCTATCCCCTCTAACAGGCCCCCTGATGTTTCCAGCACACAGTGGATGTAAAAATGACACCATATCTGCACTGATGTTGCCTCTATACCAAACAACAAACAACAACAAAAAGACCAGCAAAAATACAGTTTTCAATTCATCCATCACATCACAGATGTGATGAGATTTTTAATATTAACATCAGCATCTCATTCAAACCTTTTCCACAGTCGTGTGAATAAAGGGGGTTTTGTTTTCGAACAAGGCTACACATTTCACTGGGAACAAAAACTAATTTGTCTTGTTTTGACATCTCAAGCTTGTTACCGTGGCAACCGGTCTGTACCTGGGCATCACTATTCAGCCACATCTCCTCTATCAAATGCAGACAGATAAAATAATTAAGAAGAATAACGTAAATTCACTGGTTGTGTGTCAGTAGTTTCTTGTCAGTCTGTGACAAAACTACTATACGTAAACAGTGGGCACATACAGTACACGTCTGTGTCTATGTTTGTGTGTGTGTGTAGGTGTTTAATTTTTTAGCTTTTCTCTGTGTTTTAACTGCATGAATATATCTGTGTGCATACAGTTGTGTGGGTCCGTGTGTGTGTGTGTGTGATCGATCCAGGAGGAAGCCTCTTGGTGAAGCCAATTACTGGCTGAGTGGCTCCCTGAACTTTGTCCGAATTCTCCAATTAGCCGCTGAAGTGACATAATGAAGGCTGCAGTCAAAAAGTGACATGTTTTAATGCGAAGATTTAACACTCTCATATATCTATCAAGAATATAGCTGATCAACAGACAGCCATTTATTGATGTGCCCTGCTGAGGAGAGCATTTGACAGGAAATCAAAGCGAGCTCTTCAGATTCTGCCTGGTTCTTAAACTCAGTTGCTCAGCTGCAGTGAGTTTGTCCCTTTAGAAACGTATCAAGGGAGATACAGTCGCTCTCTCTAAAGCACATTCAGACACAGACACATTCAACACTTAAACATACTGACTAATCTATGTCATAGGTGATTTTCATCATCCTTTAAGTGGAAAATGAGAGCTGTTTGCTTTACTAAGACAGTTTGTTATACGAATAGACAAACAAAATTTTTGTGTTATATATTATTTTAAGTGCTGTGTATTTTGTGGTATGTTATGTTTATTTTTATCGGCTATATGATTTTGTTGTGCTTGGATGTTATGGATGAGGAAAATAAAAAGAATATTTAGATTGTAAGATTGAGATATAAGTTTTTTAGAATATATGTATATGGGTATTGAAGACATTGGTAATTGAAAAACCAAGGACGAGAAGCTTGGGAGAGAACTAACGCGCATTGTAATTATAAACGTAAATTACATGTGAGAAAACCAACTATGTTTTAAGGATTAAACATTCTATTTCTGAATTCATAGGAAATGACATACAGCCTCTCTTGAGGTTTCAACACTGCTGGTTTACTGCGACTGCCTGTACTTGGTCTGGTTTGAGACTTGAGCGTAATTCTACGGACACTAAACGCACCGTTGTGACGTTTCATGATCTGTCTTACTATTTTACTACACTATGTATTGTACCTTTATTTATTTTGTAATATAGTGGGCTCAAACTCCCAAAACATTGACGATCAAGATTGAATGTTTTTATTTTCTTCAGAGAAACGTTGCGCGGTAACGCTATTGTCTGCAAACATGTCGAGATATTAGAGTCGAGATGATCTGTTTTTGCCTCAACTCTCCAGAGGACGTGATCTCCGTCCTTTCACTCTCTACAGCAAGATTAGCAGTCGGCTCCTGCTGCCGTGTGGTGTGTGTGTGTGTGGGGGGGGTACAGACAGATTCACTATGAATCTACCAGATGCTCAGACAATAAGGACTTTCTTTCATCTGATTCATTCAGGAACAGATGCTTTTGTTTTGGTTGACTTTCATTTGCAGTGTATCCTCTCATTAATGATAAGACTTGTCTGAACAGAACAGGAATAAAGTGACAGACAGCCACATTACACTGTTCTTTTTTCCCCTCTCGCTCAGTCACCTGCTTGCTGCCAGCACCGTGCCCATTCAACAGGCTCTGAAAAGCCCACCTGATCTCCACACACACACCCCATTCTCAGCCAGGTACAGATAAGACGTGAGGCGCTCGTCTGTGATCGGTCCCAGCGGGCCGAGGCTGACAGAGCTGAAGAGACACACTGTTTCACACACTCCTCTACAGGACAAAGCAGACCACACACACACTCACACACTCACACATTAGACGCTGTGGACAATTTAAATGGATTCCGTCACCTTTCCGGATTTGTTTGCTCCTCATAGATGGAATTGAACCATGTGGACAAGCTGAAACTCAAAAAACTGCAAAATAACAATATACCAAAATAAAGCTATCAAAACAACACTTTCTTCCTGAACACTGATTTAAAAAAAACAACAAAACCTATCAACAGAACACCAGGAAATTAAATATTATAATATCCTTCTTGTGGCAACACTTATTAAAACTCTCAAAACTACAATTTCTTTGATAATTTGTCCTCAATTGTACATCAAATGTGGTCAGTTTAATTTGGATGGCTACTCACTTATTGTAAGACAGTATATTTGTGTGATCCATCACATCATTAGCAAATCATTTTAGTAGTTTTGATGGCTCAAATTTATAGAATTTAGGACTTTTTCAGTAAATGTAATCCCAAAACTGAAAGTGAGTAAAAGAGAAAGTCTTGATTTTAAACCAGGTCTGATCTGGCTGACAGGTGTTTGTACTTACATGTACTCGCGGTGTGCTGAGTGCACAGCTGCAGCGTTGCTGTACCGCCACAGTACAATGACGGAGGACAACACATCCAGCGTGGCATCAAACTGCGGAGAGAAAACAAAAAGCACAGGTTTTACATTCTCTTAACTACAGCATGCAGTGTTGGCCATCACAGCTTTAGTGAAGTGGAGGCTTAACGGTCGACTTACGGCAAATCCAAAAGCTGAAGCACTGTGGCGCATGATGGAAACAGCTGGAAAGAAAACAGAGAAAGAGAGACTGAACAACATGTAACACTGGAGCATTTGTGCTCATTGATATTTACTCAAAACATATTCACAGTTGGAGAAAAATCAATACATCTTTCCATTCATCTTTGATCACCACTTCTTTTTATAAATACTCACGGACATGGATTATTCTGCATATCATGTTACATAAATGTCAAAGTTTCCTGCTGTAATGCTTCTCATGAAGCTCTCAAGAGATGTGTTATATCCCTGCTTGCAGACATTAAAACACCACGATAAAAGTCTTTTTTCCAGAATACTGACAGCAGGATAAAGATTTCTTGCCGCTGTCTGTGTACATGAACAAATAAAGGGTGCCAAATAAAACACTTCAATCAGGAGAATCCCTCATTGGCTGGGTCCTCTCCTGTTTACCTGCACTGATGGATGATTATCATGTCCAGAGGTGCATTCTTGTGAGGAATTGCATTTGCAGTTTGTATTAGTTTGTATTAGTTTGTTCAGCAAACCTGCCACACAGGATAAGCTGCATTTTGTTGACTGAAGTAATTCATTTATCAGCATATAATGTGCCAAAACCAGACCCAGATGATAGTGAGCTGTAGATGTGTTGACAACAAACACCGAGCCAGAACCGCTGTGTGTAATCATCCGCCTGCAGTGAGGAGAGAGGTGAGGAGAGACGAAGGAGAGAAAGATGCAGATAGATAGAGGGGAGGAATCCTGTCCTCTCCTCCCAGGTTTATTTTTAGCTAAACTCACTGGGGGCCAGTAACTCGCCTCAACCCTGCATACAGAAACACAGCACTGTGTGCTATCTCATTCTCTGTGCTTCTCCTTTCTTTCTGCTGCAAGATGATCAAAATCATGATTTCTTCCTTCTACTATCACCCCCCGCGCCCCCTTTTCCCCTTTTCCTATCCTGCCTCACTCTTTCAAGCTCCCCTATTCTTAATCTTCTCTTCTCCTCCTCTTATTGTTTCATCGACATTCAGTAGCTCTCTCTGGGCTGAAGGTGCAATCATCCATTTCCCCAGACCAAAATGAAAACAGGAATGAATGCTGCCTCCATATGCTTTTGCAAACACTTAAGCACACACATGGACAACCCTGGAATACAAATGAGTAGGTGGGATTTTTTATGATACCAGAGATCTGCAGAGAAGCAGCATGGAAGCAGCCTCAAAACAATCCACATCAACAGCTTTTGGTCATTTTAGCAAAAAGTAATATCCAAGCAGCTTCTCTTCTTCTTTCCAGCCTCGACACACAAAGTAACTCTCTGATGTTTGATTTCAAAAATGAGACGAAACCACAAAACCTGTTTTGCTGTTGGATCTATTTCATAGGGCGGATTATTTGTCACAGGACTTTGAATCCATTATAATATACAAGTCTAAAAGGCGAAAGTTAGTACAGTCTGCTAACTCATGCACGTCGTCATCCCTACGAGCTTTAGTATGCAGCTCAACTCAACATAATATTCACTGAATTCAGATGTTGCTCACACATTACAGGCTTAAGGCTAAAATCATTTTAACAGGTTAAAGAGTCTGTTTCAGTGAGGTTAGACTGGCACAGATTTACCCTGATGATGCTGACAGCTGTGTCACACAACATTGTCCAAAGTGCTTAACAATTATGTTACATAACTCCCAAAAATGGAAAAACACACTGAAATATTAATGTTTCATTGCTCTGTCCACATTTTTCCATTTTTTTAAAAGCAGCAAAAGCCAATAATACTCTGCACAATCACACCCAACTAATACATTATGTGTAAAGCTTCGGCTCTAAATGTTAAAATGTTTTTTGGGTTGTTTGTCTGATTAACTATCATTACATAGTGTACACTGTATGCAGCATATGCTGTAAAAATAGATTAAATGATGCATAGGAAGGTTAACGTCCTCTCTAAACATCCAGGGTGGAGATGTTATTTAAACCCTGTGTGTCCCAGCTTTCAGTCTGGGAACAGATGTATGAAACAGCAAATAGGAGCTGACAGCTGTTCAAATGAAGGTAAATAAAGAAGGAGGGACTGTGTAGACATGCCTCTGCCAAAGTTGGCATAAGAAGGAAAAAGTAACAGGTGCCTTCTCTTAGTTGTGCCTTTGACACATCAACTGAGGTGAGCATGTATAAGCACATAAACACACACAGCAGAGCTTTTATATGACTTTTATATTTTTATACAACTTCACTCAAAACCTAAATTCTCCAGACAGATGAAAAAACTTCAGTCGTTTCCCATTTTTACACAGTTTTTTTACAACTCATTTGGGATGGAAACCCCACAGATCTGCCAGTAATATCATGAGCCTGTGGTCAAAACCCAGAAACGCGTGCTCCTCCCTCATCCCCTCTTTCCTTCCTTCTTCTCCTCCTACCTCCTTCATTAGGAACAGAAAGAAAAATGAAATTGTGTGTAAATGAATCTGCTGCGGCTCTGCAGTCGTAAAAGCTGAGCACAGCGATGGCTAATTGGCTCCCAAGAAAGCTGGGTGTATGTCAGCGGGGACGGAGCTCCAACATCGCATCAGGCTAACACACACACACACACA